GCGCGCGCGCGCGCGCGTGCGTGCATGTGTGTATGTATGTATGTGTGTATGTATGTCTATTGGCATTGTCACACAACATAACCCTAACACGAAAAGTACGAGATAAGAGAGCTCGCGTTTCCGTGGTTATTATTTCCTTCGTTTTTAACAGAGGGGCAGCCGCTGTGGGCTCTCGCCTATGTTAGGACTCCCTTCTCCCTTCCGTATGTACGTGGGTATGCCGGTGTTGTCACACCTCACCAGCATAACTCTAACCCTAATCGCAGTCCCTAATTTTAAGCCCTAGTCCTATTTCTAAGACCTACCCCTAACCATAAACCTTAACGCTACACCCCAACACTAACCTCACACCCAAACTAAACTTTCTAACCCCCTCCTGTGGGTGCGCGTGCATGAGCGAGCGAGCGTGAGGTGAGGTGAGATTTGATCGCGTCTAACATGGCGTCTCTGCGTGTGTTTCAGGTTCCGAGCGAGTGGGATTGTTCACGCGACGCCCTCTCCGCCAACCTAGCAGAGCTGAGGTACGTGCGCGTAACGACATCGCAGCGACGTCCCACACGATTCACGCGTAAAATGCTAGCATTCGCTCGGTTTCAATGGCGACTTGTGGCATCCATAAGGTGTCTGTGTCGGCGTAAATAGGCCTAGGTGTCGTGGTGATTTTGATTGGGACTAATTTTGATTTGTCGGTGGATACATACGCTGACAAGGGAGGCATGTGTTTCTGTTAAAAATGTGTTCGCGCTCGGTTTTCCCCAAAGACGGATCGAGTAGCGCTAATGTCACGCGTGAGTGCGCGATTCGTCGTCTCTCCAGATTATCGATCGATCGCACGTTTAGCGTTGTTCGTTTCGTTCCGCAGGGTTGCCGTGTGGCACGCGAACACAACATCGATGATGGGGAACGTGTTCATGGGCGAGATCAAGCTGAGACTGAGTAACTTCGGCGACGACCTTTGCAAAGGTCACGACTCCTGGTAAGGACGCCGTCTCCCCCATTGTTGTACGCACCGAGCGAATCTGCCGGATCTTGTCGGAGTTTTTTCCTACTGGGAAAAACCCTTTATTATCTCTTTTTTTAGTGTAATTATCATTATTTCATTATATTTATTTTATTGTTTTATTTATTCGTTATTTTATTTATTATTTTACAGATGCGACATTACACGATTGCGTGCAAACACTTTTTTATTACATCACGCAGTCCGTGCAGTGTGTTCTTATGCTTTTGAAGCAGACCGTTGGCTGTGGTTTCAGCCCCTCCTAACCCCGCCTCCTAACACCGCATAATGGTTTGCGCTGTAATCTTTCTCTCTCCCGATCTCTCCCTGCAGGTATCTACTGCAGCCCAGGAAGGAATCTCTCAATGCCAGGTTATATATATATTCCGTGCGTGTACCGCATTCAATACACTTCGGCGTTGGAATATAAAGTGAGAATAATCCGGTATTAGCGGATGCTACGTGCTACCGAGACAAACCAACAAAAAAACTGACGAAGACGCGAAGATTCCGTTGTTTTATTATTTTTTTTATTTGCCCATCGGAAGCCTTGCACATGTTTTGTAAATTTACGGGGGCGGCGGCGCCGTCGGATAGTCCGTCAGGCATTCATTCAGACCCCGGCTACTAGAATTACACGGTAGCACGCAGCAGCACGTAGGCGGGAATAATTAGATATTAGCACATATGGCCTGTAAGCCTGTATACTAGTCGCCGTAGAGTTTCGAGCTGGGCAGGTGTAAAACGCTGGTGGTGGCGTTTCAGCTCCGGTTGGGAGACCGGGGGAGGCGTGTGAGAAGTTAAGGCTGTGGGTGTCGGTGGGTGGCGGGTGTGGCTAACGAATTTCAATCTAGAGGTTAATTTCTCATTCGTTGACAAAATGCGGTGGTTGTCGTCGTTTGAAAATGCCTATAATTAGTCAAATCCGTGCTTGGATGCGGGCTTTGGGCGTCATCATGCTAATGTGAGATGCCCTTCCCAGTGGACACCTGTGCGCTCTTACTTAGTCGTTATGCTGGCTCATTTTGTCCCCGTAAGTGAAAACGCCGAGCGAGATGAGCAGCTAACGACGTGGTAAAGGTGGACGATGCCGCCCAGCGATGTGTTTACGTGTTGGTAGGTTGTGATGTATGCGTGTAGGTGCGGTAGATCTAGATGTATTCTTGTCGTGGGGGGCATATTTCTTCACTCCCTGCTTCCTTCCCTCCCCGCCCCCTCTCTATGTCCCTTTCCCTCTGCCTCGCTCCCTTTCTCCCAGCCTCTCCCAGCTTCTCTCCCAGCCTCTCCCAGCTTCTCTCCCAGCCCCTCGCCCTGCCTCTCCCCTGTCTCCTTGTCTCCCCACTTGTCTCCCTCCCTTCCTCCCTGCCTACCTCCTTTCCTTCCTTCCTTCCTTCCTTCCTTCCTTCCTTCCTGTCTGCCTGCCTGCCTGTTTGCCTGCCTGCCTGCCCCCCTGCTTGCCACTCTGCTTGCTTGCCTGTCTGCCTGCCTGCTTGTCTGTCTGCCTGATGGTTATCGTGACTCTCGTGGGCTGCTATCGTGCGTGGTGGTGGTTAGTAATGGTGGTTGGTGGTGGTGGTCGTGGCTACTACGGGGGCACGCAAGACAGGCGACCACGCCAAGCCCCTCTCCGTCTTCGTCCCCCCCTCTCTCTCTCTCTCTCTCTCTCTCTCTTCTCATCTGCTTCTCATCCCTCAGCTCCTC